TAATAATAATAATAATAATAATAATAATAGTAATAATAATAATAATAATAATAATAATAATAGTAATAATAATAATAATAATAATAATAATAATAGTAATAATAATAATAATAATAATAATAATAATAGTAATAATAATAATAATAATAATAATAATAATAGTAATAATAATAATAATAATAATAATAATAATAGTAATAATAATAATAATAATAATAATAATAATAGTAATAATAATAATAATAATAATAATAATAATAGTAATAATAATAATAATAATAATAATAATAATAATAATAATAATAATAATAGTAATAATAATAATAATAATAATAATAATAATAATAATAATAATAATGAATATCGCTGGTTCAGTGAGTTGCTTTTCGATGAAACATTTAAAAATACTTGTTTATCGATAACCTTTTACATCAGATGATAAGGCCTCGTTTGGTGATGTACAACTAGCTAGCCTTTAAATGGCTTTCTGTCGATGTCTTATATCATTCATTTAAATTTTGATTTTACTATCATGTGACTTGGCTAATGCATACATAATTGAACCGATAAATTTGTATTTAAACTTTCAGCTTCAAGAATTTCAAGGTGGTACATTCACGGTATCAAACTTGGGTATGTTTGGTAGTATTTCACATTTTACTGCTATCATTAATCCGCCTCAAGCAGCCATCATGGCAATTGGTGGAGGAACTGATGAACTTGATATCGACCTGAGTGTAAAGAACAGGTTCTTGATTGTTATTATTTTCATCATTGTTACCACTAGTTTAACAGTAAATACAGCGCTCCTCGCGCCCCCTACTTCCCTTTGGCGGTATGGTAATCTACATTTCCTCCGCCCTAGCATTTTGTTACTTTCAAGCACAGCAGAAGATAATGAACAAATTTGCTATCAGCAATCCATCAATGGTATCATACGAATGCCATCAAACAAGCATTTTGAAAATGTCATTTCACGATTATCGAACAAATACGAATCAACATCAGTGTGCAGCCCTCCTCAATTCCTCTGGCATCCTCATATTTCGTTGTAGAAGCAGAATCTCAGCCATATTCTGCGAAGAACATATGTTAATTATCAGAAATAGCCATAGTAATAAAAATGCTAAATGCTAAGTAGTGTTTTCAGATTTCAAGTGACATTGTGCTATGATGGTCGTGCGATTTCTGTACCAGATGCACATCGTTTCCTAGAGCATTTTGCGATGACATTTAAGGAACCAGATTTAATGTATACTGATACAAAGGCATTCGTTGATTTCTCGAAATTGCTTTAGAGTTATTGTCTTTGTTTTGTTTTTAAGTGAAATAATCGAATTCATATCCCTAAAGTTGCTAGCCGACTGCAATTATTCAGATGACTATCGTTCATCAAGAGTCCAATAACTCAATATGTTCGTTCTCGGTTTCTTTACTCTAATCATTTCCTTCATCAGTCAGTCAGTTCAGGAGTTTAACATAGTCATCTATTTATTGATTCGTCCGTTTTATGAAGCTTGTTCGGAATCGTTTCTTATTGACCTCTTTCGAAATGATTAACAGCAGTCGAATGTCTCTGAAATCATTTACTGTCTTTTTATCGTTAATAAAATTATGATCGTGTTCATTCATTTGTTTATCACATAAACTCTAAACGAATTAACTGATTGCTCATCGTATCATAGGAACAGTGAAGAAGGATGGGAAGATATTAAGGAATAACAACGAGTTTATTGAATACTTCTGCATGAAACTTATAGTCAAGGATTTAAAATTATTATTATTGTTATTATTATTATTATTATTATTATTATTATTATTATAACGCTGAGCAGTGCCAGTGATTATAACTGTAGTGATATTATAGCCAGTTATTTTCCGGTGTTAAAGTTGATGAAGATGTTGATTTTGAATAATGGTTTCATGTATTATTTGCAGTCGCATTTCTCATTTAGGTTTGAAATACATCAACGTGTATGTCTGAATGTGTTTTAACTGTTGTTTGGGCTTTTTTTTTTTAGAATTCGAGGGTGAATTTTTAGGTTAGAGCGGTTGTACATAACATTTCGTTTCATCAGCTTTAACAGCTTCGAGACGTGCGTTATTCATTTGTACGCATCTCACGGCGACCCTCTCGAACAACACGTTCTTTTTAGCCTTAGATTTTGTGTCGTTACGGTAACTCATTGTTCACATCGTATTCTCGTTTACATATGTCCGATTGATTTCAATCCATCTAATAATATCTTCATTCTATCGTCAGTTCATCATTATTATTTCCACTGTTGTTGGTATTATTATTATTATAATTATTATTATCATTATTGTTACTATTATTATTATTATTATTATTATTATTATTACTATTATTAATTTCGCTTTTATCAGTTTTACGGTAACGACTGTTACTGTTATCATCATTGTTAATAATGTTATTGTTATGTGCTCCGTTTTCATTTCATCAATACTGCAAATGTGCAAGTAAGCCAGCGTGTGGCAATTCTCTATAGTAGTATGGCTGAGAATAAAATTGTATTATTGACGTTCAAAGTGGCTGTTCATTGAATGTGGGTGGAGCGAGTGATGTGCTTAATGGATGCTTTCTGAACGATTTTTATCGTCATCATTTGCGTCGAGTGAAATATTTCCGATACTCGAATCCTGGTGTCTATTCGAATTCAACTTTTAAAGTGAACATTTAAGGTACTTTTGCTGTTGACAGACGCCACTGCGCCATCACAGATGCTCATGTGCTCATACGCTTCACACGTAAGCCGAAGCCTGTGTGTTAGCCGCCTCATCATTGGGCTAAGCATAAGTTTGAGCTTAAGTATACTACTGATTTGACTTCGAATTGTATAGCTTACACATGGGGCGAAGCGGTAACCTAAGCATATGTGTGCAGTGGCGCCCGATAACAGCAAATTTGCGGCAATTGCGGCTGTACACATGTTTCTCAAGGAATATATGATAATAGTGTTTTTTAATCGTTGTCCGATGTTGATAGAGTTCTAATTGGAATGTGACTAGATAATATTACTATTAATGTTAACAATAATATTATTGTTATTATTATTATTACCATTGTGGGTGATACCCATATTATTAGTTTTAGTAGCAGTTTTGTTGATAATATTATCGCTTTAAAGGCCATATGAAGTCGTTTATTCAAATGCCAGGATATCATGAGATGATGACTGAAACATTATGTGCACATCTGGAANGGGGGGGGGGGGGGGGGAGGAGGGGAGTCGCACGCTCGTACAACAACACATATACGCTCATAGACATTATGAACGACGCTTTCACATGGATCGAGGCCATGCGCAGTAGGCGTAGCCTCAGCCTAAGCATAGCTTTATCCGAAGCGTAGCCTCGGCCTTCATGGACGCCCAATGATTGTTCGATGTTACAACGGGGGACTAGCAAGCGAGCTCAGGCTTGGGTTGAGGTTAAGCCTGGGCTGAGGCTACCCTTACGTTGAGGCTATTCTTATGCTGAGGCTATGCCTCTGCATATGGCCTCGGTCCATGTGAAAACGTCGTTCACAATGTGCATGAACGTATATGTGTGCTGTTGTGCGCGAGCATGCTTACGTGCAACCCCCCTCCCAAGTATACAAGTGCCGATTTATTTGGTTCAGAAAATTAATATTTATTATTGCTTCGGAGAGAAAGCAGCTATCCGATGTTTATAAGTTTTGACACCTAGCACGGTGATCAGTAGAATCAGAATGGGTTTGCATAAAATATTACTTATGTTTGTATATGTGGCTGGCACGAAAATACATAACCGGAATGCGGATTGCGAAACCGACAAAAACTTTAAATTTTAAAACGAAGGAAGGTTGGAGAGAACCATGATAAGTGGTAATAATTTCGAGTAATTGGAAAAAAAAAGGAATTTGAATGAGATATGGAAATTTATTGTTCTTGTGAAAGTCTTATGGTTAGAGGAGAGACCCGTATGTATGGACTTACACTCTTCTGTACGCTTCTGTGCAATCGTGCGAAAGAGGTGCATGGATTTACTGAGGACATGCAGTGATCGTGCATAAATGTGGTATGATTGTGATGGGCTGCTTTAGCGAAATTTGTGCAGTACGGCTGAGACAGAAATGGAAAGCGCTGTTTTGATAATCATTGCAAAATGTACATAGTGTGATGAATGATTGAAGTGCGTGATGGGCAAATGCATTCATATTCATTCTATTTGCTTGTTCCTTCATTCTGCGTAATTTTTGTGTTATGTTTCGTGCACAACGGTGGTTATTGTAAACGAGAATGACACAAGCTAGCGAACTGTGCTCGTCTGGGATGAGAAAGAATATTCGAGAAAAACTCAACGTACAATAT